TTTAGCCTAGTTCAGTTAGAGGACAGACACTTTTAAAAACTAAACGCTCAATGCAGCGTGCCGAACCGTGCGCAAATTTTGTGTTCCAGCTTTTATTTATCACGTGACGAGAGTGAGTCGAGCTGACTGACAAGAGTGAGGAGAGAAAGACAAGACGAAGGCAGAAGATTGTTTAGAAAGGAAATGCAAAGGCGCCTGTTTGGCAATATTTTAGATTTTGAAAAGCCCGTTGACTGGAAGTTTATTTAAACATTCGTTTCTTATTTATTTGGTTCCACAGTGTTTGCTGATTACGTCATTTAAACTTTGTGCATTTTATTTATTTTATTTTACATCAAGGTGTATATGCCGTGCCTCCAAGCTTTCTTGTTCGTTTTGCTAATAAACGTTCTATTTTTATTTGGTTCCACAGTGTTTGCTGCTTTTCTGTTTTATATACCTATTTAAACTTTGTGTAGCCTAAGTAATTTGTTATTTTATTAGGCATATATGGTGTATTTTTATTCATTTTGTTAATAAAAGTTCTGAGTTTGACGTTGTTGTTGCTTGAATTGAATCAACGCCGAATTGCCGCTAATTTGAAAGTGAAAGTAAAACGCGCACGGCGCTTTTTCAAGCTATTTGAAAGCCAAGAAATCCGAGGAAAAGAGGGAAAACTCAAACGAACAATTGCTTGACGCCGAATTGCGGCAATTCAATTGCCGCTAATTTGAAAGTGAAAGTAAAATGCGCACTTTTACAAGTCATTTGAAAGCAAAGAAAAGAGGGAAACTCAAACGAACTAACACCCCATCCCCCCCAACGGTGATACCGGTATTACAGGTGTTGTCACACGCCGATTAACCGGTGGGGAAAATTTCCTCACCGTCACAACCCTAGTGAGTGTGTGTGTATATACATATATATATAGAAATATTTTTTTTTGTTAATTGAAATAAAGCTGAAATAAAATATATTAGAAACCTAAATATTAGATGAACAACTTCAATTTATTTCAGTTAGATGCCAAGGGAACATTTCTAATTTCCACTTTGCTGAAACAATACAATTACTAGCTACAAAATAAAATAAATAATAAATTAAATAAAAACGATATTGAAATAAACTAAACTAAAACTGAAATAAATTACAAAAATTTTTACATTAAATTAAATTTAAAAATTTTAATGAATGTTGTTAAATTAAAATGAAAAGTATTTTAAAGTATAAAAATAAAAGCCAATTCAAAATATTACTAATATTGCTAAAATAAATAAAAACTAAAACAATAAATGATAAATAAAATAAAAACAAAATTAATTAATAAAATGACTTCCAATTTAACCAAAATTAAAATGAAAAGTATTTAAAAATGTATAAAAATAAAAGCCAACTCAAAATATTAATAAAATTAAATAAAACAATAAATAAAAATAAAAACTCAAACTCAAAACACAAATAAATTACAAAAAATTTAACAAATTAAAATTAATAGTATTAAAGGATAAAAATAAAAGCTATTAAAAAAAATTTAAAAACAAAATCATAAATTAAATTAAATAAATAATAAATTAAATAAAACTGAAAATAACCTTAAAATAAAATTAACAACTAAGCTAAAAATGTAACAAAAAATGAAATGCAAAGTACTAAAAAAGTATAAAATAAAAGATCATTTAAAATAGTAATGTAAACTATAACAGTATATGAATAATACTAAAATAACGCTGCTCTATAGGCCATTTCCAGTCTCAGATCAGGATGTGAAACTGTTTGAGACTCACAGCTTACCGACTAGTAAACACAACTTGTGTGTGACTTTTAGAGTGGCCCTGTCACATTAACACACCAGCGGGACGCTAACGACAAACAGAAAGTGGCACACAACTGTGCACCGACATGCTTCTAAACCTACATTCATGCTCGGGATATCACACAAATATCTCCAGCCTGTGGCTGAAACATATCGGAGGGAGATAATGGTCCGCAAACACACACTGCAGAATGAAATGGAAAGAGTTGCAGGCGTGACATCAAAGGAAACTTCAATGCGTTCAGTGAAACACAAAGCCGGTGCAGGTGAACGGCTGTGGAGGGTTGTGCTGGTCTGGGAACAGCGATTGAAGCCGCAGGCGGTCCAACTAACAGAAGAGGAGAGGGATATTTAAGTCTCTAAACACTAGGGCTATCAAAAATAATCGAATTTCGAATATTCGTCGAATTTTTTAAAAAGAAATCCACATTCGAATGCAAAAACGTTGCATTCGAATTTCAGGTCTGCGTCAGCCATCAAGGCAGCCTTATCAGTGGCGCACGAAATGCGACGACAATGTCATTGCATTTTAATGCTTTTGTTAGCCTATCCAGTTGAACCCACTAGATGCGGCGGTGCTACATTGTTCATTCAATATATTACGGAAAACGAGAGCATCAGTGTGGAGAAGATGTTGTTTACGGCGAAACTGAAACCAAGCCGTTCACACAGAACGCATATTTATCACATTTTCTAGCGGGGCATGCCATCTATCAGCATTGCACTCGCGTTTCGCACAAGAGAGCGGCATGTTTAGAAAGCCATGTAAAATTAATTTAAGTTCAACTTTTAAAAAACATGTCTCAAGACTTGATGGCGGTTTTCCCCCATCCCACTGTATCTCATCTTTTCAAATGAAGAAAGTAGCCTCCTCTTTGTGATTGGTTTTCGGTCCTTTGTATTAAACTATACATACATGCATGGTGCTGTTTTTTTTCTAACTGTTTAAGCAACTTTATTAATTATATATGGTTTATA